TAGTATCTTATTCGTGTTTGTCGGCTTTACAAAAATAGGCACATGTGTATTTTTTATTTGAAACCACATTATATATGAAAGAGATCTTAATTGAGCAAATCTATAATTGAAGTCAATATACCATTCAATTTGAGCACATAAAAGTATCGCTAACTTTACTATTTTATAACAAAAGCAGCAGATTTTTACCAACATTATTGCAGTGTTGCGATGACAACAGAATCTAAGAATATTACGAAAAAAGAAAAAAGGGTATGTTTGCGCTGTTTGATATATATGTGTGTTGTGTGAAAGACGTGTCTGGTGTAATATTTCTCTTTATCCTTTATTCTTTATCCGATTTGCCAGCAAGTGCAGTGCAAGATGCAATAGACACGGTGTTTTCCTAAATTTCGTCAGAAGTCGAATAAATTTTATTATCCAATAGTTTTTGAAGTATTTGTTAAGAATTGAAATAATTTGTTCGAAAGACATAAACACATCTGTCCTGTCTTAATAATTATATCTCCAAATAATTGATGTAAAGGGCTGATTCATTATTATACACATATATATATAAACTCGTTCGATTAAGCTCGACGGACATTGACCCTGACATAAAGCACGAACGTCGCTCGCGAGAAGTGATTCCCCGACTGTTCGAGACATCGTCGTTATGGGTTTCTCTCACTCTCCCGCCTTTGTTCTGTAATTCCCTATTCTGTCTTCGCGTCGTGCACTTAACCCATTTTGTCTCGAGATCCTGCCTACCCGGAAAATACGAGCCGGCGGAGAGGAGTTTAACGATCCGCGGACTCTCGACCGATTAAGGACCGTTTTGCGATGGGGTGCGGAAGCGGACACGCGCTTTGATGCGCGTTATATGCGCTCGCGAAGAGTCGGGGCGATTTTCCTTTTCGAACGTGCCTGGGTCCGGACCGTACCGTGCTCGTGTCGTTTTGTTATACTGACATGTCGCACGGGCCAGGAATTTATCGACGTGCTGCTAATGCGCCATTATTTCGCGCGCGCGAGGGGAATCGCCTAGGAAGAGACGCGTGACAAAAATCTTCTTGGCGACGGCATAGCAGAAATAGCGCGCGACGCAATTGCTATGGAGGCCGTCACTTAAACTGGGTTAATGATCGCGACGAGATGATTTATAATGATTAAGCCGTTGCGAGCATTCGTGGTATTTGCGGGTGATTTTTCAGTATTTGGGGCATAGTAGATTAGGCGAAGCAATAATTTCTAATATCGATTTTTTTTTGGCTCGCATTAAAGTGTTAAAATTTCTAAAGACATGATATAAATTGCGCGGATGTGTAGTGTATGTGGACGTTTATAGGATGCCTCGGCACTGCCGCCGCTTTTCATTCTAACGTGATAGCTCGATTGATAAATTTAAAATTGATTTTTCATAAAACGGATTTACAGGAAACTATCATTTGTCGCGACGTTTTAATATCCGCGTAGAATTACCGTAATATAATAACAATGATGTAAAATTTTAGTTGAAGAGAAAAATAGATTGTTGACACATCCCTTGATTGTTACGCTATTCCTTTAAAACTCGAAATATTTAAAGTGTATTAAAATTCAATTTAAATATTTAGTTAAGTAAAGTACACAAATTGAATTGATTCTTGAAGAGAAAAATTTATCATTGAACACATTGTTTGTCAGGAAAGAACGGCACGAATTTCTTTGAAAGCGTTTCTATCAGGTTCTGATTGACTTAATCGACGAGCTTTTAATTTTCTTAATTTATTCAGGTCTTAAACGCTCGACTTCATGGCTCTAGAGAATCGGTGAGACGGCTTACTCGGCGTCGAAACTAAAATTTAGACATAGATGGAGATAGGATTATTGGACTCGAAGTTAGTTAAATAGAAGTTTCGAGAGATTCTTATAGTTGCAAAACTAGAATTACCTTAATATGGAACTTTTGAAAAATATTCACTTTTATTTCTCTTGATGAATTCTAAGAGGCCTTTCAATTGTGAAGACGTATTGCAATGACTTGCACGAGTAAAATATAAGGTAATTAACATAATATAAGTATCCACTTATTGAAAACTTATTTTTTTACGAAGTTTTAGAATATATAGATAAAAAAATTCTACTCTGTGTTTTTACATAAAAGACATATTAAAGGAGATATTTTTACATAAAAGACATTAAAGGAGATAATCTTATTGCGACGTAGTACATAAGAGCTCCTTTAATCCTTCCTCCTTGTCGATGTCATGAGATAAGACCACTTAATACAGCACAAATACGAGTGGCAGGACATAACACGGAAAAAAAGGTGAAATAAACAAGTGCACCTAGTGGGGACAAGGTCGGGATTCTCTGGTCTTGTCGCAGGACGGCTCTGGCTAATGTCAAGATAAATGCGATTTCCTGGAGACGGAATGGGGAACATGAGGCGACGCGGGGGCGCAAGAAGAAAAATATTGTTTGCCGCGAAAACTGGGGCGCACATCCTGAAGGAGGACGTTGGTAGTGGTTCGATCAGGGTGGCGGGGGTTGAGATGGAAGAAGCCAAAAGCTCGTCGGCTCTCATGCCGGAGTAGCTTGCCAAAATTTCCAAGGCGTAAGGTTCGTTTTTAGAGCGGAATTAAGCGGAGGAAGCTTTTAAAATAGGGTTACTTAAATCAGGTCATATGAGGATTCTCTTGCATGACTCGAGAGAAAAGCGCAGCGAAGTCTATAATTTGCGATCCGTTTCTCGATGTATTTTCATCAACGGACATTATTACTTATCTGCGAATATTTTTACAGGAAAAGAGCACGCTGTTTTTGTTTTTTACATTTGTGATTTATTTTGCTTGTACACTCATTATTTCTCTACAAAAATTAGAAGCAACTATTTAATAAAGAATTCAAAGAAAAATATAATCTTATATATGTATGACTATTCCCTTCAAATTTCGAACTATAATTCTGACAGAAGAATATTCTTTAAAGCACCTTTATTTATTGTAAGAAGAAATTGAAAGTAGAAAGTATGGAAAGAATTTGTTGCTACGACTTTCAAACTTTTATATCCTTAATAAACATTGAGTTCACCCCGCAGTAACTAATGTTAAACGTAAATTTAAAAAAGTAAATATGCAAGCAGTCTGATTGTTATCACTTTGCGATGCTAGCCGCGAGGCAATTATTCTCGATATATTCGTGACTGCTCGTTTATCGAACACCTTTGAACACATAGCGATTCTCTGAATTCCATTTATTATCGGGGAATCTGAGGAGCCAATGTTATCATGTTTGTATTTGGTATATATTGAGCTTTTGCAACTATTTTCCGGGAAGTGGTAGATCCACGATCGGGGTCAGTGTTGCCGCCACGATCGCTCAATGTCTGACGCATAGCTTTAGGCCAACGAGGACAACCTCAGGAGCTCGTTATCGTGGATGAATTCAATGCATCGCAGGCGACATCGAGCGATAGCGAATTCAAGCGATGCCGGCTTAGCCGTGTTCAGACCATCCATCTTGCTTCGGACGTTTGTCTTCCCGGTAATGTCTAAGATATCGGTCCAAAGAGGCATCGATGCGGGTTTTATCGATAAAAGTTGCGCGTCTTTCTATGGTTACTACAGATATATACGATCATTTCTCCAATGACTAACAGTGCAGTGTTATTGTAGATCGATTACATCGGACCATTCGCTTATTCAAGTCTTTTGATAAGACATAAGACTGGATAAAGTATGAATTTGATAGATTATTACGATAAGTTATCGCAATACGAGAGATCGAACTCGAAAAATAAAATAGTATATTCTGCTGGATGCAATATATCTTTATACTAGATATTCTAATACTAATTTTGTAGACGAGACTATATATATAGATGAGAATAGATATATATTAAATGATAAGATTATAATGTGTAGATGTGATACTTTAAATTTGATATAAAAGCTATTTCTTACTTATATTGTTTGTCTTCCTTATATATAGATATATTTTTGCTAATAATAATAACATATCTGCTGTTGAAAATGTGTCGATTGATATAATATAATTGATGTCTTGTATAAAAGTATGAGATAACTCATTGTATATATAAGTGATTAATATTCACTGGAAAGCTTAAGATATCTGATTTTCATTAATCGCGTCTATACAGTTTACTCGGACAACCTGTATTCCGCCCTTTAGCATTGAGAGCACTTTTATACTATCGCCCTGCGATATTCTAATATCGCCTTTAGCGGAATTTCTGTGACCCCAAAACAACTACTTGGCGTCTTCGTTTTAAGAAATATATACCGGTGGCACGATCAGTCGATTTTTCTTTATGCCAACTACTGTCCTCGAGTTTGTTTGCGAGATACTTTTCATCTGAACCTTTTACACATGTGTATGTGTGTAGCTGTGTGTTGTTCAACAAAATTTAACGGATTTGGAAACTAGTCTACGAGTTGCTGCCCTTTCGCGAGAATGCGCTGGAAAATCTTTCGTAAACTCTTGCATAAAGTTCCTCGGTATATTTGCTCATAAGCTTTATAATTTTATTGCATAATTCTCCGGAGAATTGCAAATTTTAAGTGAATGGCGAATTGTGTGGAAAGTTTTAAACGTGCCTGCTGAAGATAATCTTATATATTTGTTTTTCAGCAACCAGCAGTCAACTTAGTATTAACAGCATTGATAAGAATGCAGATTTAATTCTAAAATTGATATTATTCAGCTAATTGTAAGCTTTAATACACATGTGTGTGAAATTCTTAGCAAAAGTAAAAACATTTGATAAACAAAAAATAGTATCGGTATTAAATTCTTTGTAACTGTCAAGCATAAAAATGGCAGCAAGTAATCTTTAATTTGTAGAGTGCCAATCGCACAATGCATGGTTACGTGACAATTTTCATACGTATCCAATTGTTCGTCGATAGCAACGTTATTTCTATTTAATGTTTCACGGGATTGCTTTGTCAATTGTTGTTAAACAAGCTTGCTCGTCGATCCGCAGCTTATTCACAAAGCGAATGAACTTGACTTACCCTCTCTATATGGCCGCCGTTAACGACTTCCGGCGTGTTGACGCAGACTACTCTTTTCAAGCGTAGTTTGTTAACGTGGAAGGCCGACCCGTAGCAGTACATCAGCACCATCGTCGTTGGAAAATAAAAACAGCAACACGCCAGGATCCTGAAAGAGGAGATACAATAAAGAGCATTTTCCGGCTCAAATATAAAATCGTAATATAAAGACAGATTCATAGAAGTAAACTACGCGAAATTGATGATACGTGCATGAAGTTTATTAATGCTAGATCAAAGTCCTCGTATCTGTAATGCGATAGAGACAGTTTCGCGATACATTTGTTTCAATTCTCTCTCTCTTTTTTCCTGAATTAATAAATTAATATAATTAATATACTTTACAATATTATACTTTGCTCTTTAATTTATGCCGGAAATGCATTTGAATCATCTGAATCTTTTTTCGTCTTTTACAGCAATGTTTAAAAAAAAAGCCGCGATATAAATAGATAATTCTGATAAGTAGATAATGTAAACTAACATGAGGCGGAGAGCAATTTCTAAGTTTCCAGCGCGATAAAATTATTACGGCGATTCGAACGATCTTTCATATTTAACCGGCTTAGAGAGAGAGATGGGAAGGGAACATTTAGACACGGATATCACTATCTTTCACAGTCGATCGCCTCTGGTGCATCCTCCAAGGCGATAAGCCATGACGATCCTCTCAACATTAAATTGCAATTGTCCGCAATTGATCACCGATGTGGCGACCAAACGCGGCGAGCCAAGATCGTGAAACGTCACTCTTATCACCGGCGTTCGCAGTGGCAATACCTAAAGGATGCCCTAGCGAAGAAGGGATCGCAGGCAAGAAGGCCAGACCCATTGAAGTAGTAACCGCCTCTGGGGAGCACGAGAACCCCAAAGATCGCCACGCTCGCTATCCAGGTGGTCGACATCACCGCCACGCAACCCTGCCGCATGTAATACTGTGTCAACATAGACAGAAAACGATCACTCTTTCTCACCGATACGCCAAGCACGTTATAGATTTGGTATGCATGTATGTGTGATGTGTGTATACATGATATGCCTATTTGTACATCTCTCTATGCAGGAGTTTGCGCACATTCCGCATTTTATGTACATAGTGTATATCGTGGACTGTTTACTTAAATGATTACTGTCTGCTATTTTTATCAAAACTTTCAGAGCGAATATTGCAATTTCCAATCGTGGCTATACGTTTCGATCAAAAATCTAATGCCAGTGTACGTATTAAATAAACAAATATATATGACAAAATGTATATTCGTAAACTTATAAATATATTGCGCAATTTTATTATCGATCAAAGCAAAAATGTATACAAACAATCTTGTGTTTAAAAATATATTTTATTTTGAATATTAAAGTAAAGTAAAGTAAAGAAACATACTACAAAGTTTGCCAATTCTAATCCGGTTTTCAATATGTTCTTTGAATATATGTCTTAAATAAGATGTATATCTTAAATATTTTTATATTTTATAAGATTATCTTATTAAATTTATTTATTTAGTAAACGTAAGAGAGAGAGAGAGAGAGAGAGAGAGAGAGAGAGAGAGAGAGAAAATATGAGAGAGAAGGAGGAAAGGAAAAAGAGATAGGAGAGAGAGAATAGAAAAACTATAAAGTTATAAAGTTATAAACATTAAATTTTTGCAAGTTGGAATTTTTGAAAGTTTCTGCTTGGAATTAAAAAACTATTAATATTGAAAGTTGATTCTCGATTTGCATAATATCGATTTCCTCTATGTTTTTAGACACATTGCATCTTTAACGAACTCACTTTTCACCTGATCAAATCTCTCAGCAAATAAAAAGAGCTCCACGGACCGGTTTTATCGACGGTCCATTTTTACGGCACAAACCCAGTGTGTTAAGTATTATCGAGATTAGGTGAAGCTCGTTCTGATCTCGAAGAACGATCAGCGAGAATGACACTCGACCCTACTATTCCCTGAGCAGGAAGAATCGACGCTTGTTCAATATCTTCTATTTTTATTTGTTGTCACAGATGTGAAAAAAAAGCAGATCCGCTAACTCAAAATTATTGAAAAAATATTAAAACGTCTTAAGAAACGCTATTGAAATATTACATACAAAGTTTATTCATAAGGACATAAAAATTCGAGAAAGAACAAATTTTTATTCCAAGGAATTGAATATCTATTATTTGAATTATATGAATAGTTTAATATTATATATATATTATAACTGAGAGATTGCAAAAAGAAAACCAATGTAAATTGCGATTACATAAAAGTCATACTTATAATTATGAATGGCATTTAAAAAAATGCTGACATAAATAATGAAATCGTGCATAATACAGATGCCATCTTAGATTTTATGAGATGCATAGAAGAGTTACGAGATACATTCTGAATTGTGAACCGTGAATTATAAATTTCTGAAAATATCATCGAATATATTATCGACTCATGCGTAAATGCCATAACAGCTGATATTCGCTGCATATTGCAGAAGTAACAAAGAGGTAAAGGCAAAGTCTTGCTGTAAACTATGAACTAAATGTGGCGAAATATTGCACTAAATATATATAGATAAACCTAATGTAATATGAGATCCAATCTTCGAACTAATATAGTATAATAAGAACAAATGCAAATGATAATGTAATATAAAAGATGTTAAAAATATATTGATAAATGAAAAAAAAATTATTATTTGTTTTTAGAAAAATCAAAATAAAAAATACATTAGGATTTCAAAATCGCTAAGATTTCAATTTCCGAAATTATTAAAAACAGTGAGGCAAAGAATTAAAAAAACTATCATAATTAAAGAAAAAAGGAGAAAGAGAAAATTAAATTCATGAAATTTCTCTTTCTTGAAATTGATAAGAAGCAACAGTTTCTACCAATCAGACGCAAAAAAGATAGAAGTGAGGACTGGTAGGATTCGATGAGCGACTGAACGTTCGATAGGCGGAAAATTACAGAATGAATGGAAGACACGATTCAGCGATTCATCGGACTTTTTGCTTTAACCTCCGATTTTTATACATTTCTCATTTTAATTATTATGCAAATAGAAATTTTATTACAATTTTGCTGTATCGTCCAATACATTTATAGTGGAAAAAAGAACGAATCGAGACATAGCAACGTTGTTAATATTAATATTATAATTTACAATAGAAGATGCATTTTTTTATAAATGTAAAATAATATACATATGTTTATTGCACCAATATAGATTTTCATTGATATATCCGTGAATCTCTAAATTTTTAAGTAAAATCTTAAATAAACCGAAACTTTTGATGGATATTATTTGAGAGACGCGATATTTATAACTTTAGTATAAAAAATAGCAATCAACGCATATGTAAGAACAGAAAAAATATCTGCAAAGTAAAAAAATTATCGTTTAATAAATTATAGTGATATAATGGTTAAATTATCAGCGTGTAAGAAATCGCATTCTTCAAAATATTGTCGGTAATTTTGTCAATAATACGTATATCGAATGGTCCAGAATCATCTTCCATTCAATCTTTACTTTTAAATTAAAATAATTTCTTTTTTGTGATTGCCTATTAGTCAAATTATTTTCATTAATCAAAACATTTCTAGTCAGCATCAACTTATCTTTATTTTATCCTCTTTTTATTCAAGTTAAATTATTTATTTCTAACTGTGGTTGAAAATTAGTGATATGATAATTTTAACTATCCTATATACCTCTATCCTCACATAGATTTCATCCCATTTATGTGATTCATTGTTATGGACGTTGGAATAGAGAGATACGGTGTAGGTGAATGAGAGGCCGCGGTGGCACTTTGCATTCTGATGCGCTTTTAAATCTTCTCTGAAATTCATTTCGGCGCTTAAGCCAGGGTAAACCGACGCGCATCCAAGCTTCGACAAACGGCAGTGTGAAACCACAGGTATGTTATGGGTCGCGGGAAAAGATCTCGCTAATATCGCTCGCAAACTTTGCAGTTGCCATGACGCAAAAGTTGCCTTTAAAGCGACCGACCAAATCGCTTTTGTTGCCGCTCAGGAGGTGATGCACAATTACTGGATTATAACTTGATCCGTGGTAATTGACAGGTATAAGTTTCAGAGCTAATCTAACGGATTAAGAACTTCCTAGCATGTTCAGGTAAACTGGTTTCCGTGGGCTACATTTTTAAATAAACTCTCAGAAAATATGAAAAAAGATATAACAACCACATATCTTGCAATTCGCACAATGCTTTTCTCTTCTTTTCTCTCTCTCTCTTGTAATACATTTTTTCAAATTTTCTGTAAAAAGATATTTATGCGGATGGATTGTATATATATATATAACTAATATAAGTAAATAACGACCTTCTTAATTTTATTTTATTCTTTATTACTACAGAAATAAAACGGATGTATGTGTTTGTATGATTTTTACACTTTTTTATTATATCGCCAAAACAAAAACAGTTGTTATCTATTATTTTTATTTTATCGTTGAGTAGCGTGGGATATTCTAAATCCCAAAGAGACTAAGAGATTATTTTTTGAAATGGCATTTTTATTCTTTTCTGTTGAACTCTCTTTCAATCTTTTTTCTTTTCAATGAATAGCTCGTATCTCGGTATATATTTGACGTATCACCATACGCGCGATATACATATAACTGCATAATATATAATAGATATAGGATTAACAAAGATATATATGAGCTTTGCGAGCATAGCTTCCGAGTATCATCGATATTTCAGTTATACCGATATTAACTTTCCAGGCATCATATAACGAGAAACATTTTTATCTCTTATCTTTTAAACTCTCATATGATCGCTAAATGATATCAGATTCCATTTTATGAATAAAGTAGTTGTAACAAATAATAAGAAATATATTTTTAATTTTAAACTCAATACAAATCTGTTTCTCGTTTAAGCTTTCATATTATATTTATGAATAAAATGGTTGCATCAAATGTGAAATGATTGTAGCTGAATCAAGGAGTGAATTCTATTTTCTTGCAAATTCAAAAGCGTCAGATAAGCTTTACGAATAAATGTCATTTTTATAGCAATTATTTTAACGCAAAACGACAGTTGTCCGCAGTCAATCAATTGTTCAATCTGTTTTCAATCAGATATCGTATTTAACAAGAGCAAATTTTCCTGTCGACAGGTCGAATGAATCGAGAGAATAAATCTCTCTTTAAACAGAAGAAACGTTTAAAAGGTTATATCGTTTAGTTTTGTTTGAAATAGTCATAAAAGAATTACATTCGATCCTACCGTAGTAGCAATAGATGAGTGCCAAATAAGAAAATACAGGTATTATTAAAAAAAAGAATTTTTAACACGTTATAATATAATATATATATATATATCT